CCACCATCACAAGGTGGAGTGTTTTCTTTTTCAGAGAAGAACATCTAAATATTCAGGATTTGTGTGTTAAACATGAAACAAAACATAACTCCTGGTAGGCTGTTGATGAGGAAACAATATTTTATCATACTAGTAGATCAGAAAATAGTGTTATATGGGCCCTTTAAACAATATTGTGAGTGGACCACATATGCTGGAGCTCTTATCAGGGCCTCCTCCCACACACAGCTCTGAGGACACAGTGACACACAGTTTACAGATGTAGTGCATGGTTCTATCTGAACAGTAAACACTTCTAATTGGATTGTGTGCTTATGCGCTTTGATGTGAATCCTCAGAGGAGCCGTTATAATAAGGTCTAATTGTTTTTCATATGTATGAGTTGGGAAAATGAATATTCCGCTAATATAATTAATGTAATTGTGTGTACATTAAACAAAATGACGCTGGGAGAGAGGGTCAAAGGTCATCAAGCTGGTTTGGTTTCATAAAAAGTCACATTCTACATATACATTTTAACATTGAAAATAACATTGAAAATCTGGACAATTCCTTTCGAGAGTAAACCCATATAATAATGTTTGAGCAAATTTTGACCAGGTAATTTTACAGTTATATTTTTGTCAACTACCTAATCCAGTGTTTCTCAAACTGTGGTGCATGTAGTGAGCTGTTCCTTCTGGTTAATTTTATAAAATTTAAATGTTGTCTTTGGGTTAGTCATTAGTACTTAAAGGTACATTGTGTAATTTATTTGGTGCAGGGTACATCACCTTTTTGTCTTTAGGGAGATTGTTTTGTTTGGTATTTTCCACAGTGTGGCATTAAAAGTCTATTCAGCCTTTGTTTCATTAGAGGTGATTTTATTGGTCAGAAATACCTTTAAGAACACGCATCCTTGTGTGAGCATGCACACCTCCACTGAATTGATGGTTTAAATGTGGTGGTAATGAGAGAGCTGAAGATTTTCTGGTGGTTCTTGGTGTGAAGAGTTTGAGAAAAAACTTATCAAAGAACCTAGAATTAATTATTGTTTAAAAAAATAACCTTTGTACCTAATACTATTAATTAAAGTGAATTGAATTAGTGGCCAGTGATTGCAACAACCAAGAAAGCACACTATTCTTTTATGCGTCACATTAAGGTGACCAAAATCTGAACAAAAATCTGATCACCAAGACATAAACAATTTATAATTAAATCAGAAACATACAAAATTAGTTAAAATAAGTAAAAGTTATGGCTTAGGTTATAGTCAGGCAAGATGTGACTATGGTTAAAGGTGCATTGTGTAACTTTTCATCGTGCAGGGTCAAATGCTCTTCTCCAATTGACATGTTATTTCTTTGTCTAGAATGTTCCACCGTAGGGTATTAAACCTTTCTATCTTCGTGGAGGCCAAACCAGACAAATGTAAAGGTCAGATCTGTGGAGAGGCAACCCTGCTCCCAGTCAGAATTCCTATTTTTCTAGATATTTTTGAGCTATAAAACCACATGTATTTTTATAAATAGGATATAGTTGTTTAATGTCATATTATGGAACCAGGCAGAGCAATGGCATATCCATAGAAACAAGAAGATGACCAACTCCCAACTAAAAAGTTACATAGTGCACCTTTAAGGTTATCATCAGTCATGAACAGTGTTGGGGAGTAACGGATTACATGTACCGCCGTTACGTAATCAGAGAACAAATTATGAGTAACTGTATTCCGTTACAGTTACTGTTTCAATGAGTGGTAATTGGATTACAGTTACTTTGCTGAAATAAGTGGATTACAAGGCGGTATTTTCCTGTTTTCACATTTTGTGCTACATCCCATTTATTTATTTATTTATTTCGGTAATTTCACTCATTGCTGGAAACCCAAACAGAACTCGCGCAATAAGACCGATGTAAACGTCATATTATAGTTGGCGGTGTCAGTCACACAGTGGAAGCAGCAGTGCATTGGTAAAAACGCATTTGTGTCTTGGAAATTTTTCTCCCGATGTGAGATATATATAAAAAAAACAAAAACAAATATAAAATCGCCTACAACTTAAATGTGAAACCGGAGCTACTGGCACTGGTGAAAACAACCTGCATAGACTCATAATATCTGCACCACTGTCCTATAATGACCTGCGACATGAGGGGACGTGCACACAAACACACACCAACACATACAAACACACACAAACACACACCTTCATCATCGTCATTAACCTGAGAACCCGCGGACCACGTCTCCTTCCGTAGTTACAGCGCGGACACCGCCGTCTCGTGCGCCGCGTGTGGACTGTGTTTTCTCGCGTAAACCGCACTTCCTCCTGTGCGCCTCTAAACCAGAACTAACACCTGGACTAAAACCAGGACTAACCCAGGACTAAAGCAGGACTGAACCAGGTTTAAACTAGGACTAAACCACGACTAAACCAGAACTAAAGACCTGGTCTAGACCTGGTCTAGACCTGGTCTAAACCAGGACTAAACCAGGACTAAACCAGGTCTAAACAACATGACACCTAACAGTAGATTGACATAATTTAAGGTGATCTCATATAAAAAATAATTTCTCTATCAATAATATTTTTTAATATTAAGGAAAGGCTTATCTTGTTACTGTCTTTTAACAGACAAAACCTCTTATATTAAGATATCGTGGTCTTTGTTTCTCTACAGCAAACAGTTGCTTATTCATGGAGACTTGGGCTCAGGCAATTTGAAGACAACAAACAAGAATTTTCAGGATGTGGTTGCTACATTCATGTCATTTAAAAAAACATGACAATATCAAGTAATCCAAAGTAATCAGATTACGTTACTCACTTTAAGTAATTTAATGGATTACGTTACAAACTACATTTTGGGGTGTGTAATCTGTAATCTGTAGGGGAATACATTTTAAAAGTAACCTTCCCAACACTGGTCATGAATGTAAGTCAGTGCAATGTTCCCAGGATGCATACAGACCCACCATATGAGTGAGTCTGTGTGCAGAAAAGACAAATTGAAAGAATTAAAGACTCTAGTTGTGTCTGTAGCTAAATTGCGAGGTGCTGTGAGGTGCTGCCACTTCCTGCTTGTGTTCTGGACCAGTGACAGAACTGCCTGGACCCTGTGGCCAAGTCGACATTTACATCTTTGGTTTCCCATCACCTGCAATTTGAATTCCATTACCGGCCATGGCACACTTCAAATAAAACCTGAGCCTATTAATTACAAAAGTATGGGTGCAGGCTAAAGGTGAATGTGCAATTACAGAATTAAATCAAGCGCTCATTCGGCTTGTCTGTCCTGACAGAAAGAATTTGGCTGAATTATTAAATGCGTCCAGGGCTCTAGGCAGCTTCATTGAGGGCTAATACAGCTGCTGGACTACCAAACTAGGCCTTATTTCCTATAGAAGCACCAACTATACAACTTTTCCAGGTTTAATTTGAACTTTTGTTCTGTTAAAGGTACACTATGTAACTTTTTAGTGATCTGCTTGTCTCCATTGAAATGTTATTGCAATCCTGGAATGTTCCACCATATGACATTAAAGATATTCTAATCTAATTTATTTTGCATTTATTCACTGTGGATGTTTTATTGCTCAAAAATACTTTGAAAACATTGAGCGTGGTTGCCTCTCCACAGATCTGACCTGTAACTTGGCATAGTGGAGTCACCTGCTGGTCTCCATATTCATATTATATGATGATATGATATGATTGATAGATAATGTAATGCCATACTGCAGAACATTACAGGTAAAGTGATAATATCTCCATAGAGACAAACAGATCCTCAAAAGTTGTAGAGTGCAACTATAAAGGTTCAAGTTAACAGTTACCTTTTACCTTATTGCCCAGATTTCCATAATTTGTGTGTTAAATGTGTGTGAATGAAACAAAAGCAACTCCAGGTATGTTTTGATGAGTAAACAACATATAAATCAGAAAATAGCTTAATAAGGGCCCTTTAAATTATTGCATTTTTCTATTTGTTAGTCTTTAGTCACTTTCTTTTTGACTTTCACTTTTGGGTTTATAATGTCATTTCAGTTCATGGGCTAAGAAGAAGTGAAAAATCATTAAAATCAAAATGTATATATTTCAACCAAAACAAAATAATACTTTTATATTACAATAGGTTCTATTTATGGTTGCATTACAAACTAGGAAAACGTTTGGAAACATGCAATGACAACTTCCGGCGGTCTCTGTTTGCGGTAGTAAATCTGACAAAATTTAAGAAAAAATTAGAAAATGGCAGTTTTCATCATCTACATGTCACTGTAGTGTTCTGTTATGTTCAGCTAATCAACAACTACAACCATACCTCGGTTTTCATCATTTGTCCACTGACACACAACTTCGAGCACACTGGGTACATGCAACTAAAGAGAGGAGGGTGCTGAATTCAAGATATTTCAAACAGCACTTAAGTATGCAGTCTTCATTTTACTGCTGATGATATTTACTTCAGTGGGTTTTGTCACAATCGGTTGGCGAGCCCAGTGTCAGTAACTACACCGGAAGTTATCATTGCTTGTTTCCAAACGTCTTTCTGGTTTGTGACGTAAGCGAGAGTAGAGCCTATTGCCCATATATAAATAGTTTGTGCTTTAAACGTGTGTGAATGAAACAAAACACAACTTCAGGTATGTTTTAATGAGTAAACAACAAATAGATCAGAAAATTGTTGAATATTTGTTAGTCTTTAGTCACTTTAAATTTTAATAAATGGCAAATACTGACTTTCACTTTTGTGTTTGAAATGTGAGTGTCATTTCAGTTCATGGGCTAAGAAGAAGTCAAAATCAGTCAAATGAAAATCAATATATATTTCAACCAATCCAAAAATCATACTTTTATATTACAATAGCATCACTAATTCACCTGCAGAGCTATAATAAGGCTAGACACAGTAGGAAAAAATGCTGAACATGTTTGGTAATACTTTTTTCTGGATATATTTTACTTAATCAAATAAGCTCTTCTGGTGAGTGTCCCTGCGGTGCGAGGGGCTGAGTGCAGACAGTGGTTGGTCTGTGTGACAAGCAGCTGTCAGTAATCACTAAATGAGGCTAGACCAAGGCAGCTGGAGCAGCCAGAGGAACATTTTGGGAAACTTTTGCAAAAAATGATGACCAACAAGCTAGAAATTGCGCTGATAATTCTCAGGTATGGACTGTTTTTGATATTAAAACACTAGAGGGAGAGGCAGATCATTTTGGGGTGAGGAGATGCTATTAAATTCACAGTTTGTTGTCTTCCACAGTGCGGCTTGGGTTCACTTTGTGTCAGCTGGAGGTGCTTACTGTGCCAAAACTGCAAGAGGTATAATTTTCAGTTTACATTAGCCACTAAAGCATCTTGTTGACACTGGGGATGTTTACGGCCTGGAAATATTGTTGAAGCGAATTTGTATTTCATTTTCTGTACCTCCCTTGGTGCATTATGTAACTTAGGTAAGGTGGAGGCCTCACTTCTTGCTTGTCTTGTTATTTCTTTGCATGGAATGTTCCACAGTAGAGCATTAAAAATATCTACCCTGCATTTGTTCAATTACAAGTGTTTTATAGCTCAAAAATACCTTAAAAAAAACATTAATTCTTATAATGTGCAGACTTTCCTCTTCATAGATCTGACCATTAACTTGTCTCCAGTGTGATTACCAAATTTATTTCCATACTGTGGGACAATCAAAGCAAAATGGTAATATTTCCATGGAGACAAACAGGTGGCAGACCCTCTACGAGAAAGTTACACGGTGCAACTTTAACAATTGCGATGTTCTTTACAAATTCAAAAATGTAGCATGACAAAGAACTATTTTTAAACTGAGAATCCCAGCGTGGTCACTATTGCCAACATTAGTATTCACTCAAAAGTTGAAAATGTATTAAGGCTATGTTTATATGATCACAGTCTAAAAAGAAGATGCAGAAGTGCGTCTTCACTTTTTATTCCACATTTAGACAAGCGTTTTTGGGAGGAAATCTGGATGCATATGGTGACGCAAAAGTGTGTGGAATTCGATTGAGTATGCATGTTTCTGTGTACTGTATGTATGTGACGTAAATGTGTAGGCGACGTGAGCAGATCTTACCAGAGTTTTGCATCTTGGGCAGTGTAGAGGGAAACACTACATTGGAGCATATTTTACTTTTCTACTATGGAGTGTGGTTTCAAATTTTTGCATTTTTAAGCCCCAGAAATGCCGTCACCATCTAAACGAAAGGCACTTCAGATAAAATATTATGTGGTTTTTATCCTTAAGCGTTCTTGTGGCCCTAAATATATCTGGAAAAAGCCAGTTTATGCTCCACCGTGTAACTTTTTACCCAAAAAATTGACAAAAATAATGCAAATTTTTTATTGCACTGAAAATCATGTATAAACATAAACTTGTATCCTGAATGAAGTGGACTTGTAACTCCACAAACCTGACTTATTTGACCCGCTTGTTTCCATGGAAATATTGCCTCATTGGCCATAATATTCCACAGTATATATAAGAGGTTTTTAGCTCAGACACATTCTCGAATTGGCTTTGAAAATGTATTAAAGTGTAAAATTTAAGTCTGTAAGAATAGTTAATAGTTAGAAAAGTTACAACTGCACATTGACGTAATAGACAAAATTCTAAACCTAAGCCTGTGTAATGTTTTTCTTCAATGTTGTTCTATAGCTCGAGCTGCAGCTTTGGGCTTGGGTTACCCAGGAGTCCATGGGGCCCCTGACCTTTCTGGACCACCCCCCTTCTTTGCTCAACATCCCAGTGCGCCTCACCACCAGCACTCCCCAAACAATCCCCAACCTCCTGCTATGGACTATAACGAGTTTTACAATCTACCCAGAGAATTTCCACATTTTCAACCAGCTGGATATGGCAGTCACAGTCTAGCTCAATCCAACCTTCTGAGCAAGCTTTCTGGGGGGGAACCAGTGACCAGTCACCCGACCAATTTTGAGCAGGTCAAGCATGATGGCCCCCTAACACAAATGCAACCCCCCGGCATGGATAAACTTATGTATAGGGCTTTGGAAAGTCAGAAATATCCACTTCCACTTGTTTACAACTGGCCTGGTATGGCTGTTGATGCATATGTTCCAAATACACACGGTACAAGAGGAGTGAAAGGACCACCCCTGCCCCTTAGTCCTGCTTATGGTGTTTACTATGTGGTGTACCCTGTGGGAGCTGGGGCAAAGCAGAGTGTAATGTACCCGATGGCCACCAGGGGGAGTGTGCCTGATCATGCTGCCTGGCAGATGTATGGAAGATCGAACATGAAGCCGAGAAATCCATTTTACCCATCACATTTGGATAAAAGTGAAGAGTTGGACTGAGAGATGACCCAAGCCAGATGCCCTTCCATCTTGAAACATATGGATGGGTTTCCTCCGGGCGCTCCGGTTTCCCCCATCAACCCAAAACATTCTACACAGGTCTCCATAAACAGTTGATAGTCATGGTCAGTTAAATACAATCAATTCAATCATTGTGTCCTTAGGCAAGACACGTCGCCCACATTGCCTAGTATGAAAGTGGTGTGTGTGTGAGTGATGGTGGTGGTCGGAGGGACTGATGGCGCCAAGTGGCATGGCAGCTGCGCTTCTGTCAGTGTGCCCCAAGGCAGCTGTGGCTACAATAGTAGCTTACCATCACCAGGGTATAGAGTGAATGAATAATGCTGAATAATGCTGTGTAAAGCGTCTTTGGGGACAGAAAATGTCTGTGAAAGCGCTATATAAATAAAGACATACTTACTTACTTACATGGGCTTACTGTGACTTATAGGTGCACTAAAACTTTTAAGGTTTATGGTCCACTACCTGCTTGTCTCCATGGAAATTTCACCGCTTTATCTGGAAGGTTCCACAGTATAGAACTCAGACTTACATTTACATTTACATACAGCTCCAATATGCATTGAAAAACATGCATCTTACTGAGTAGGGTTTTCTCTCCACAGATTAGACCTGTAACTTGGCCCTTTAGCATTACCTGCTTGTCTCCATGGAGATGGATAGACCTTTCCAGACACAACAATATTAAGTGTGTGGTGGACCCTCTATGTGAAAAGTTACTCAGTGCACCTGTGATTGTAACCTATATATTTAATAGTTCATCAAATGCTGGAAATGCTTACGTTGCAGTTAATGGTACATTTGAGAATTGAATGTGTTTAATAAAATGGCTGATTTACACAAAACTTGGTTGACACTAAGCCCAAATAAAGGTCTTGAACTGGCTGCTCTCTCCCCTCTTGTGTGTTCTTCATGAGTTCCTCTGTAGTCTGGATGTGACCATAGTGCCATCTGTTGGTGCTGGAGAGCCCGTCTCCTTTTGGCTCACAAATGGTGGTACACAGGTGCTGTTTAACAGAAGGTCAGCCTTTGACACGTGCCATAATCGCCACACAATCTGCTGTAAGAGCAGTGTGTGGATGTTCTGTTAGCACACAGACCTGCTGTGGCTCTGTGCTGGGGAGGTCAGAATGGGGATGAAAAGGGCTCATTAAAACAATTAAGATACAAATGTATGAATCTTGATTATTCTCACTATCAGTCACACTGCATTTGAGTAGTTTATTAGTTTCTATGTAATATAAGACCTTTTTTATCTATTAATCATGTTCACTTCACATTTTAAAGTACGCATGGGAAAAAACATATTTTTTAATTACTTAGTTAGAAAGAAAATACATGCATACTGATGGAAGGTCTTTAATGTACTTGTCTCCATGGTTATTAGTTTGCCTAGAAAGTTCCACAGAATTGCATTAAATTTATTTATCTCCATGTAGGCAAGCAAGTGACACCAAGGCATTAAGTTACAATTCAGATCTATGGACAGGTGACCACACAGTAAGACTGAATGTTTTTCAATATATTTTATAATCAACTGTAATTAAATGCATGAAAATAACATCTCCATGAAAACAAAGTGGCAGATCCTCAACCAGAAAAGTTAAATATTCACTTTGCCAGACTCTGACTCTATCTAGAGGTTTGTGTTTTTGTAATTATTTATTATTTGCTTTTGTATATTTATGTTGCCTTATACACTTCTGCCATATGAGTCTATAGTGCTGCTATCTCACAGCAAGATGAATGATAGCCCAAATATTTGAACGCATTGTTTAGAGCTGAGACGAGTCACAGTAGGAGTGTCCTATATCTTCTCTGAGGGAGGCTAACGCAGGAGACGTGTTACTGACATCAGTATTGCACAGACAAGCTCGTCAGTTTCCTCTAGTGGTTTTTACGGCAAACTTATATTGCATACTCTGTGCATTTTGGTAACTTTCATGTTTCTTAAATTGAAATTGTCATTGGCTCGGTGGTTAGAGCATCTGTTCCACTGACCTGAATGTTTCTGCATGTCGTTGTTGTGTCTTTTTGCAAGGCACTCAGCTTTATGTAAGAATATATTACCTTCCCATGGCAGCTCTGGTTGGAAAAGCAGCTCACCATCACAAATGTATAAATGTGAAGTCTATTTAATTTGTAAGACACAAGTTATTTATAGATACAGTTTTAGACCAGAAGTTGAGTTGTCACCACTCCAACGCAAATGGACACTGTTAGATGAGTGAGTGAGCTTCTATTGCATCAGAAGTTAAAACCTGATATTGAGTCATCAAACCTTACTTGACATCCTGCTTACAATGTCTGTTTGACATTGTAATCTCACTTTTTGTGTAGACATGACCTTCAGAGCCACCGTAGTTTATTATTTCATTTCAGAGGGAGACGGGAAACACAGCCAGGGAATATTAATGGATGCCGCGTGCAGCTCCACACGTCAAAACTGCAGGACTTTGATTCCTCGCCGTTTGAGCCAGCGAATCGGAGCTGAGAGCGGAAGGTTATTCACTGATCAACACATAAATCAATCAATCAGGAGTCGGCCAAGCACAGGGAGCTGGTTCAGAGCGCCCGGGCAGAACTGAATGAGTATGTGAGTGGCAGAACAAAAGTAAAGCAATCAAGTGTTTATGGGCAGTTTGCAGGAGAGGCACCATACATCACAAGGCTATGTCAAAATCTGTGGCCTACAGGGGAAAAAACTGGGAGAAGCAGAGACAAGAGATGCCAGATCGTAGACCAGGCCTATTCAACCAGATCAGGCCGTCCAAATGATCTAATGCAGTCCACAGCCCACCTTCCACTTATTGAAATATTTTCTATTGTTTACTGGTTTAGTTAGTCCTGGTTTAGGCCTGGTTCTATTCTATTTGGAATTTTACAAGTGTGTGTTTCATGGCAATCAAAGAGCTAATGAGGAAAGAGGTTACGGAAAGTGCACGCCCCTTTCCACTGGCACCGCTGGATGTACTTAGCAACAAGATGCGATAGGTATCAAACTTGCCTGGTTTTACTGTACATACAGTGTTTATGGACAAAATACAGAGCAGGTTAAAACAAACATTTTAAGACCAAAATGGCAAGAGCAGTTACAGAAAGAGTGGTGGCTAGCAGGCCATCTACATCCACTTACATATTTAAAGTCTAAGAGCACAATCGAACTGTGCTCAAGCGCAGCACAGATGTGACTTTGGTCCGGTTGGAGAAGGTGGAGAGGGATGTACACACTCGACTTTACTAAACAAGCCCTGTCAGGTGCGCTGATGTTACTCATTCAAGGAAAACAGTGAATAAAATCTGCTTCAAAAACATATGGTAAACCCGTGCTTACCTTCAATAAGGACTGTGACAGACGTTTAGCTGCCCCTCATCTCCGGTTGTCATCACTGCTCCGTGCTGTTTTTATATCCATAAATTCACAGTGGAGCGCACATCATAAAAGGATACACATCAGCCTCACTATATACTAGATATTTCTGCAGCTGGACTTTTTTCACCTCTAAAAGCATTAGCACATGTAAACAGCACGGTGTGATGAGGTCATCGGGTTGTGGCCCAGTTCAGATGTGCAAGTGTGAGTGTGGGCAATAGAACCCTACGCAATCATGCTTGAGCACGGCACGGTTCTAAAGTCCTAGTGTGAGTGCACCCTAAGAGTTATACCCAGTTCACCCAGTTTTTTTTTTTTTTTTTTTTTTTGTGAAACCTGTCAAACTAAAAAAAAATATCCAAAAATCAGTTGCTCGGAGCTGGAAGTTGTCAGCTACCTTCCGACATCCGACTCTCTTGTCCGCCTCCTTACCCCATATCACTGGTTTAATGACCTCAATGCAAAAAGATATGTGGATCAAATAATTGGCTGTAACCTGAAATACAGCAGGACTATCTTTAACATTGACAGGTATATGACATATGGCATACTGTGGTGTCATTAGGTCATAGTCATAGATTTGAATGTATCTAATGTGGAGTTGTGTAAGGTGGTTGACTTCACCTGTCATTGTATTTTGGGTTATGGAAATGTTGGCTTCAGGGATAGGAAAATAAAATCTTTCCTAAAAAGACTAAAAAAGGTGCATTATGCAATCAAAACAGCCATAATTAAATTTTATGTCATAATTCAAAAGTGCATCTTTATAAATGGACTTTTGGTCTGTCTTGATTGTCACTGATCAAAGAGTCCTAAATTGTCACAGAGACAATTTTGTCATAGAAAAAACTAATAAAATAAAATAACACATTTTATGTTATTAAAACACATTTTATTTGATAGACCCATTCTTGTAGAGTGTAGAGAGAGTAGAAATCTGAATCCTGGTAGTATTTTTGCTGTGATGTCTGCGTTAAATAAATCACAATACCTAGTGAGTGACTGGTGGTGGTCGGAAAGGTTTTGGCACAGATTGTCAGCCACATTTCCACCAGTGAGCTCCAGGGCAGAGGTGGCAACAACCATACCATCATTGAGTGAGGATTAAACTGCAGAGATATGGAAATGTACACTTCAAGGGTTAGTAGCTTTTCCAGTAGTAAAATCTAGTATTGAGGTGATAATATTTGTAACCAAGATAAATTAACACCTTTTAGACCAAACCAAGGGTCACTTTATGCGTTCTTGAGTCACACACTGTTTTAGTAACGCTTCTTATTAAAATAAAAATATACTTTGTTATGACTTTTATCTGTGCGTGAGTCCACAGAAATGGGGAATATGCCATTTTGGGAAGTAGATGTGTCTATGTGGTTAAAAGGTCTATGTCCTTTATCATCACCAGGCTCTGTGCATAGAACTTGCTTGTCTCAGCACTATAAGTTTTTCAGAATTCAAGTCAAATTTACAGATAATTTAGTTGGATTCAATGGGATTGTTACAGTTGTATGGTTCTGATTTGAATTGTTTTCAGTGTTCTGTTTAAGATACAATGGTCATTTTGGGCTTAATTAAAAGACAATAAAGCAGGACATGTCACCTTTAGATATGATAAATTTGGTGTCAGACCCTCCATCACAAAAATTACACACTGAATCTTTCAACTTCAAAACGTCAAAATCAATGTATTTCAGAATGATGAAAAATGCAGGCTTCATAGAGCAACAGCCTGACACCAAACCCAGCGAGGCCATTGATATGAATCCGTAGCAATTGTCAAACATACCTGAAGAAAATTTGTCCTTCAGTTACAGCTACAATGAATCCTGAGCCAGTGGTGATGAATGAACCTCCCACCTGATCCAACGTTTTAGAGAGAAAAGCAGCGCCACCAAATTCTGAGATCGATTTTGGTTTGGAATGCCCAATGATGAAGGTGAAGGCGAAGACATCTATGTTTGGCAACTTGCAAAAAAACAGCACTCATACACCTCTACCCCTCCATTCTTCTCCCCCTCACCCATAAACAAAACAAAACACATAAAGGCCAGTCTACTGTAGATTAGTTAAGAGTTTGAATTGCAAGTTGAACCCCCCTTCCTCCTCTAAAAAACATAAATAATCCCCCCCAAAACAAGATCTAGGCACCTCAAAACAGTGACAGACGTGCGAGGAAAAGGTCTTTAATTAAATGTCAAAACCAACATGTCTGGACCATAACCGGTCTTCTTTAGGGCTTAGTAAGAATCTTTAGCCATATAAATTACTTTATGTGGTTGAATATAGAAAACTAACCAGGATATGAATGTTGTAGTGTGCATTTTGGGGACTTTTTCCTCATTCGAAACCTTATTATACTTTGGTTTTAAAATCAGATTTCAACAAAGAAATACCACAAAATGTACCCTAATAGTCCAACTCCTTACACCCCTTTGAGTTGAGAATCCTTTACCACTGCATAGTATATAGTATATTAGCTTTCTCCAGAGCACATAGTTTTATCAGCTTTGCC